CAGAGTCTCCCATTGTCTGCGAAAAGTGTTGTTTTCTGCTAGGTTACCCACCAAGAGATATTGGTATAAGGTGGATATGGTTTTGTCCAATGATGAGCCTCGTTCGCATCTCGTTTCAAACCAGGTAAGGTCTCTGTGTAGTTTTTCTTTATTGCTCATGGTGTTGTAGTAGTGGTGTACCTGCATGTAGCGTAGTGTTATCAAGGGTGTACGAGGTGTTTCTCCTAGCAGGGAGTTTAAAGATCGCATGTTGCCATTTCGCAGAACCGTGGAGATGGGTACGTGTTCGCGGCCCTCTGCAAATGGCCATGCCGTCGTCGGAAAACCCCCTCCTATTGCTGGATTGTGAGTGATGGGAAGCAACGGGCTTGGCACAGGGGAGATATGGGGTTGATCTCTCATATGGGCCCAGCTGGCAAGTGTCTGGGCTATAATCCCGGCTGACTCTCCTCCATCCCCTGTTCTGCGGCCCCCTGCCCATATAGCGGTCTTTAAACAAGCTTCTTGTCCGTCTCTGGTTAGGGCTACCCATTGTTTCCGGTGTGTACCAGCATGCCATTCCAGAATACGTTGGACTGTAGCTTGATGATACCGTTTGAAATCTGGTAGCGCCAGTCCTCCCCGGCATCTCGGTAGGCAGAGCAAGTCATGTCGAAGCCTTGGTCTCTCCCCTTTCCAAACATAGCGTATAGCCGCTGATCGTAGTGAGTTGAAAAAATGTGTGGTTATAGCTAGTGGGAGTGTCTGAAACGAGTATAGGAGTCTGGGCAAGATGTTCATTTTAAGAACTGCTATTCTCCCAAACCATGATATATATGTGGGTATGTCCATTTCCCCAGGTCTGCCAGGATCGTCTTCAGTAGTGGGTCGAAGTTCAGTGTGTAGAGGTCTCCTGGGTTCGATGTGATCCAGATCCCTAAATATCTCATCTTGCAGGGGCACCACCGAAATGGAAACAGGGGATCCAGGGCCCAGTATTCAGTGTCGGGTATAGTGATGTTGAGCACTTCGCATTTGGACAGGTTAAGTTTAAAACCTGAGATTTTACCGAAATGTTCAAGTGTTTCCAGCAGGCATGGCATTGTGATTCGGGGTGAGGTGATAAAAAATAACAAATCATCCGCGTAGGCGGCCACTTTATGTTCCACCCCTTGCCAGGGGTATCCCCGAATGTCAGGGCTGTTTCGTACAGTTTGGAGTAAGGGTTCCAAGGACATGGCAAATAGCAATGGGAATAGTGGGCAACCCTGCCTCGTGCCAAATTGTAAAAGCAGTGGTTAGGGCCCCGTTGACTCGCACCGCGGCCTGTGGTTTGTTATACAATGCCCGAATCCAAGTGAGGAGCCTGTGTCCAACTCCCATTTTACTAAGGGTCGCAATCATATACCTCCACCTCACTCGGTCGAACGCCTTTTCGGCGTCCGTAGAAAGGAGGAGAAGTGGTTGCTGTGTCGTCCGTGCTCTGTGTTGTATTGCGAATGCTCTCAGAGTACTGTCCTGTGCTTCTCGACCGGGTATGAATCCTGTTTGGTCCACATGAATGAGGTCCGGTAGGACAGATCGGAGTCTAGTTGCCTTTAGTGAATAGTTTAGCATCCACATTCAGCAGAGATATTGGGCGGTAGCTTCCACATGCCTTCGGGTCCTTCCCAGGTTTTAGTAGCACCGTTATTATGGCCACCTGAGATTCTGTTCCGAAGTTCTCCCCTGTGGAGACTGCGTTAATGGCTTTCGTAAACCATGGCATTAATATGGAAGAGAATGTTTTATAGGGTCCTCCAACAGTCTACTAAATCCATGTCCCCCAGTGATCTCCTCATGGAGCGTATGTTGAGTTGCGAAATGCTACTGTGTCCCGTTGAGGAGTCCATGATGGGGTCTAGGGGAGCATTGAAGTCTCCTCCCAGAACCAGCGTTCCTTCAGAAAAGCTGTTTAGTTTGTTTATCATTCCTCTGAGGAACTGGGCTTGCCTTCTATTAGGCACGTAAGCTGTGGCAAAGGTGTAAAGCATACCTGCGATCGTCCCTTTCAAAAAGAGAAAGCGTCCCTGCGGGTCAAGTAAGGTATCTAGCTGTTGGAATTCCAGATCTGCCGCTATTAGGACTGCCACTCCGGCCTTTTGCACTAGTGGGTGGTCACAAAAGTAATTCGTCGGGTAGTATCTGTTATGTAGTCGGGGGGCCGCATCTTTTCTAAAGTGTGTTTCTTGTAGAAGTGCAACCAATACGTGGTGTTTTTTTATTTCCCGCAATAGGTGGGTCCGTCGTTCTGGTATATTCAAGCCTCTGCAGTTGATGGTGAGGACAGACAGAGGAGCGGGGCGATAAGTGCTAGGCGCTCCGGGTCCGCCACTTGTATTCAATGCGCTACTTCCCCTCCCCCCTCCCCTCCAGCCGAGGCGGGGTGACCCCCATATTTTGTCCTAGACAAGGGATTCAGTCCAAGTTCAGAGATAGATGAGGTGGGGGTAAGCAGGGTAGAGGACGAGGGGGCAACTCAGTGGAAAATGAGAGAGAAGAAAGAGAAGATAGTTAATCGCCCGTGTTAACAGGCTTCACAGCTGAGACTAGAGGTGTCCCAGAAAAACCACCCCCCGTGAAGGGGGTGGGGTGACTCGTGTTACGGTTAGAGCGTATGGGTCCCGCCCCGTCTATCAGATCGGGTAACAGGTGTCCCTTAGGCTGCGCCGTGTAGAGTAAGCACGAGTGTGGTTTGGGATGCGCGGCCTGGCACCAACCGAGTGTATATGAATGTGTAGGTGTTCAGGAAGAGCCCCTACCCCTCAGCCCCTTTCGTTGCGTAGAGTTAAAGTCGGGGTTGTATGATCCGTGCTATCTTTTTACATGCAATAGTAATAGTACACAACAAGGGTGCGATATTATCCTAATAACATTCCAGGGCTGACAACATAGCCATATAACCGCGTTTATGTCAGGCGAATGACTGTAGCATCTTAAGTATAACAACATAACCAGATAACTGTGTTCATGTCAAGCGAATGACTGTAGCTTTTCGGTTCCTGTCTCCCTTTCTACCCCGATCTCCGCAAGCCACCATGGCCCGATCCCTCCCCCATTAGCCCCAAACCCTTCAGCTACCCTATCCCCTGGTCAGACAGTCTTCCCATGCCTGCCCTTGCATAGTGCTAGAGTACCCGACCCAGTCTCCTATTCCTCTGTATCAAAGGTGTCCCTGGGGGTCATTGAGGTAGTTGCGATCTGTGGCAGGGACAGTAGAGCGTGTGTCCACAAGGCGCTCCACCTGTTGGTGTGTGGTACTGGTAAGCAGCCACCAAATAAAAAAAAAAAGTCTGTGGGTGTCCGGTCAGTGGCATCCTTCTCGTCAGGGATGTCTTAGTGGGAAGGTGTGGTCGTGGGGTGTTGCTCTGGTCATTCTGAATGTCCATCGGTCTCTTCTTATGTTGGGCATCCCGGTTTTTCAACCGAGTGGCAGCCTTATGTCCTCACTGCCTACAATCGTTATGTGTGCCAAGTAGTTTATATGTTGTCATTGGGTGCCTGTGAGCCCATGGGACCCATACGTTTGTTTGTCTATGCTGCCCGTCACCCCCATTCAGTCGCTTAGTATGTGTCCTACGTGTGATACGTTGACCTCTCCGTCCGGTGGTCTCTTAATGGTCTGGCGTAGGGGAGTCCCGTCGTGAGTTAAGCGTTACAGAGACATATAACGTATGAGGTGGCATAAAGCATACTGGCAATTGACAAGTAAGGGCAGTGGGGCACAAGTACATTGATCACATAAAGCCATAACGAGCATAATTACATAAGCGGCAGTTCATGCTAGTGTGCCCCTGGACCGCCCAGGTCCTTCAGAACTCATCTCCCACCGCTAATCCCCCACCCAAGGTTTCGTGGTCGTGAAGGCCATGCCACAGTCCCAAGGTTCGTTTACGCCCGTGTTGACCTCAGGCCCCCCTCCCAAAACCAACGTATGTACCTCCCGTGTCCCGTATTAGCATGGGTCTCATGCCGTAGGGTTTATACGACATCCAGGTAAGATATGCCTGTGCTGCCGCAAGTGGGGGGGGGGGTGGAGACATTTTCAGGCCCGGGGGGATGTTGCAAATGTATTACTGAGAGGTCCGTCTCCAATCCCCTCCGTTTCAGTGTCCCCCCAGAAGAAGCATGTCTATGTCCAAATATTTATGTGGCATCGTGGGGAAGTCTCTCGGGCTCAGGAGCGCGAGCGACCGGGGTTAGGTATGTAAATGGGGTACTCACTCATCCTGATGCCCAGGGCCTTGGCGACGGCGCTGAGGCAGCCTGCCCAACGGGGATCCGCCGCCTCGCCTGCGTGGGGCTCGCTGCTGTCGGGGAGCCTGTTCTTGCGGGCCTAGGACCCAGTTGGTGATGGATATTGGTGGTAGATTGAGCTCCTCCAGGAACCGCGGGATGTCTTCGGGCCACCTGGCCGCTTTCCATGTACCGTTATGTCGTGCCAGGAGTGCAAACGGGAACCCCCACTTGTAGGTGATGTTGTGTTCGCAGAGTGCTGCCGTCACCGGTCTGAGTGCCCGTCTGGCTTCCAACGTGAGTGGAGACAGGTCGTTGTATAGGGAGACAGGGCTGCCTCGAAAGGGCCACGTGGGTTGCTCCCTAGCCTTCCGCATGATTTTGTCTTTGATGGGAAAGGCATGGAGGTAGCAGATCACATCTCTAGGGCCTTCTTCAAGTGACCGTGGTCTTAGCGCTCTGTGTGCTCGTTCAAAGTCGAAAGACTGTGGAGCGTCAGCCCCTAATACAGTGTGGAAGAGATCTGTGAGAACTTTCTCCACGTCCTCCCCTCCATCTGGTTCTGGGATCCCCCGGATCCGAATGTTGCACCTCCGCCCCCTATTATCCAGGTCTTCAAGGTGCCTGGGCATGTGGAGGATCAGTTCACCCTGTCTGGAAATGGCAGTGTCTGTGGCTGTTTGCCTCGCAGTGTGAGTTTCCACCACGTGTTCTAGGGCCTGTATGCGGCCCGCGTGTGCGCTCACCTCTGTCCTGATCCCGGCCATTTCCGCTCTCAGGGCATCTTGGATCGTGGTGGTGAGGGTGAGCAGGTCGGCTTTCATGGCCATGGCAGCCGTCATGGCCCTCAGCTCCTCGCTTATGCGGTCCAGGGTGGAGGATTCACCTCCCCCCATCGAGGTAGGGGACCGCAGCGACTGCGGTGTTAGGCCCGGGTTCTCGTTCCTGCCGGCGGCCCCGCGTGGGGATTGTAGGAAACCATCCATCGGTCCCTGTTGGGAGCTCGGATGTGGGTCCTTGGGGGTCTGTGGCTGCTCCGTGCGGCGGTTGCGACCCATGTGTGCTCTGTCGCGGCTGATAGATCGCTATTTCGGGGTAAGGTGTAGCGGAGCTCCGGGATTAAGCGGCCATCTTGGTCAGTGTCTAGGCCATGCCCCCCACGGTTCGTGCAATTTTCTACCAAACGGGAACTAGTTCATGCATTTACTATTGTACTACACACACATTTCGTACGTTTACAACCCACGAACAGAACTTTGGTTTGTTACAATGACTGTTATTAAGCTATTATGTTCACTTATTGTATATTGTCAAACGGGCACTGTTTGTTTCCCTGTCATACAACTATAATGCTGGGGCATAGCTCACGAACAATGTTTCACATAAACCACACTGACCCCTACAGGTCACTCTCAAATCTCACATTAACCTTGTATTTGGATTAACCCCTTAAGGACCAAACTCTGGAATAAAAGGGAATCATGACATGTCATGTATCCTTCAGGGGTTAAAGGGTATTTTACCATACAATCAGCATTTCTGACCCTTACTGGTCAACAGCAAAACTGTCTTCACATTTCATACAATTACCAGCCAATATAAATTACACATAGGATTGTTTTAAATATAACCATAAATTAAACTCCCACACGGGCTCAACTTCAGGTTTAATTCACAATAATTTACATTTCACATCAAGACTAACAGTGGTTCTATCAACACTGCCACCTACAGGTCTGTCAAGTACATTGACAATTTTCATGGGGTTTTACAAACACCAAAACACTGACCCCTGTAGGTCAACAGACAAACATTTCACATACCAATCAGTATCAACTACACTGCCACCTATAGGGCACTCGGCAGATCTCCAGTGCACTTGCATTTTGCAACACCATGTTCACTGACCATTCAATAAGGCATACAACAATTCACATTGCAAGCAGTATATCAACATCTGTTATAAATACACATATTATTACACAGTAGCACACGCATCTGTATATACGTAACTGGTAATATGGTTCACATACATACGGCACTTAATGGGTTAAGATTGATACATATTTAACCAGTATGGATATGATGTTTAATATTTACATATCACGGCACTTTACTTTCACATATACTGTATGTTTTAAGATAAGCTTGGTCTATGCCATATTTCCATATGCCATACGATTTTATCCATTCAGGTTACAGTTACTACTAAAAAACCTATACGGATTGTCAGGTTCAATACCATACTACCAGGTACGTACACCTGCTCACGTAGTTATCCATCTCTTACCTTCCCTGGAATAGTTATAGTGTACTAGCAATTAGGGTTCTAGGGCCCAACAGGTATTACCCCCTTTTTTCTCTGCATTACGCTTTGGTTGGTATTCCTGCGAGGCCAACACCCCGCCTCACACTCGGAGGCATACACCCCTCGGGCCACTCGTGAGCTAGCCGCCTTGCATTGTATCATAGAGAGGGCCTCACCTGTCACTCCCCTTCCTATTTTTCTGGTTACTGTCACCAAGAGGCCAACATCCTGCCACAACCTTCGGTGGCCACACAAAATCCCCTCGCGCCAAGCATAGATAGAGCCTCTCAAGCCACTTGGCAACTAGCAGGGCCTCACCAGTCACCAAAAAATCACCAAGCCTAATCGTTTCGCCTTACGGCTTAGCTAGCAAGCCAGTACAAGACCCCTGGGTACAAATAATAATTGCAATCTTTATTGTTATTTAAGTATTTCTCAAAAAGATGGTGAAGAATCACCTCTTCCTGGCACCCCGGCTAGAAGTGATACACCTTCAAGCAGAGGAGATGTGGCTCCGACCTAAGGAGGCGACAAATCCCCTACCCTGCCACAGCAAGGAAAGCAGAGTTATTCAAACTCCTCCATACAATAACGGACAACGCGGAGGCAGGGGAAGGCCCAGCAACACCAACTCAGGTGACACCCAGGCCATGCTAGCCTCACTCATAAACTCATGAGCCAAAAAAATTACGACAGACTGGCAATCTCGAGTCGATCACAGCCCTCACAAGGCTGGGCCTCACGCTACTGTACAACCAGCACCAACTGAAACTCGGTTACCTGGTACAATCAATTCTTGATACAAGACGTTAACACTGCACATATGATCCCGGCACATTGGGGAAACAAGGCATAAATATGTATGATGATGTATCTATGATGGTCAGACCCAGGGAATCTAGGTAAATCGGGAACTGACCATCCCTTGGTTGTGTTGGCATTTGGAATATGTAGAGATGCTTATTTGTTCAGGTACCAATACAGAAGAGATTTTCTCCCAAACAAACGGACGAGCACTCTCAGGCTCCAGGTACCAGCACCTCTGAACTACCAGAGACAATTGGTATTAGTAGTTGCACTGCATATAGACTGTTGCATATATGTTCAAATCATTCAGGGCACATGACAAACCATGTGTCCTAATACAACTTACAAATAACGTACTCACCATCTGTACACACCAATGAATTTTCAACACTACTGACTCATCACCCTTCCAGACTTGTAGTAGATTTACTAAGGCTCTGGAGCTTCAAAGGGCTCCCATACAGGTATCATAAATAAACTCTCAAGGAATATAGCATGCCCTCACTTACAGTCAGCACAACAGAACCGTCGGCTGTAAACACACTCATAGCCAAGATTTGCAGAGGGGTTTTTACTTGGGTTTTCCAATCTCCACCATTTACAGCATGGCACCAAACACAAACACATTGGTATTGTCACAAGGGAATCTTCCCTTAAACAAAGACTAACCATAGACTTATTGGCACCACACACCTTCGCTACCCCAAGTCTCAACTCCCTCATACCCTCCGAGGAGTTTCCTTAATATACAAGACCATTGATCTACCTTTACAGCTATCACTCAAGCATGGGTTAAAGCTTGGTTAAGTAAGACCAATATCATCAACGTAGTAAACGGCTACCATCTACCCTACAAACTGGCACTTACGTGGCATAAAATGGTCAATCCTTTCCCCACTTAAAGCAGCTGCTGTGGCATGGGGTAAATCATGGTCAGGGTCATCAATCAGTTGTTACTCAGACAACTAAGCACATGTCATATCATCAACAAATGCCACTCATCATCCATACGTTCATGGTATTGCTGGGGAAATCACTTGGTTGGCCACTTACCACATTTCTTTTACTTTCATGTACCTGGCGGGAGTATACATCCCTGCCGACAATTGTCTCATTTATATTCCAGGCATGTTCATCATACGCTTCCTACAGCCGCCCATAGAGTCACGGCCACTCTTTCGTTCCAGAGACAAAATCATGGATTAGACATACTCATGCAGCATAGCATGCACTATCCCACCTAGCACTTTCATCCCATACTTGTAGAACGCATAACACAGCTATTCACCTGGCTTTAAAGAATCTCATTGGAACACGACATAGCTCAACCTGTGTCATAACATTTCTCCTAGGTTTTGCTTAATTTTTGCCACCTTAAACTAAAACCATCTCACACACCATTAATTATATATTTTACAGGCATTCAACAACACAGGATAACCTATGGCCAAAACTACCATAACTTCATGCTATCATACAAGACAAGAATATACTCAGAGGTTTTCAGGAATCCATTCCCCCACGTCCCTCTCAGAGATTACCAATAGCCATCCAACTTTTCCATCCTTATCGGACCTATTAGAGCTACAACCATTCAATTATACTACCAAGTCGGCCATTACCAGCCATGCACACTGCCTTTTATGCCTTTCTCAGGCCAGAGAATCCACTACCATAACCACCACTCAGACAGATCATTGTCTTCAACGATCCCACGTATGTAAACACATATATCATTACCTATTGGCTCTACCACATTCCGAAACGAGTCAACACGCACCAACAGTAGAGATAACATACTATCCTACCCACAACAAATGGTGTCCAGTTGCGGTCCTAGATTCCTACCTTCAAAATCCTTCAAGGAATTAAATACCGTAATGCATTTAAGGAAATGTCTGGTTAATTTGTATATATTGTTGACTGTATTAAATCTTTGATTATTCTTTTTGCCCTCTTTATTTACAGGCCTACCGTATCGTCGGTCTCTGCACACCACAACCGACTTGCTCACTTTATACTATCCTACGCTTATGCTGGAACCTTACTCTATATATATATATATATATATATTTTATTCTTTATTTTTGGTGCAAAAGATTTTACATGCAGGCCCGTGTGGCCACGACAGCAGACACAGGCAGGTTCATGCAGACATGTTCGTGGTTTTTTACATTTGCACATTTTTTGTTAAAAATGAATATAACAGGCTAGTAAACATTGCTTATATGAAACAACATGTTAAAGTATTTAGGCATATTAATAGTAAAACGTAAGATTGATAATCCGCTTTGTCTATTTGGTATGATTCTAGTAGGCTAATACAAGTCGAGTGTTCATTAAAGGTTAAACAGGCTTATTGGTTAACTGTAAAATTACAAGCTTTGTAACATTAGTAGACGAAATAAACATTCTACGCTAGACATGCATGTGATAAAGTTAATTATTAATGCACAGCTTCAGTTAAATTACGATGAGTATGCTTGGATAACATTAGTAGCTCAGGCTCTCGCTCAGTACTTGTCAACATGGCATTGGTAGCTTATGGCACAACAGGTTAAGCGCTCTGATTAAAATAACAGGATTCTCACACAGATTCATAACGTTAAACATATTCACACAGGCTAAACTCAGCTATATATATTTTTTTTAAATATGGTCATTATGTAAAAAAACAAAACAAAAAAAAAGTTCTAAAAGTGAGAAACTTTTGTGAGAGCACAATAAATACCTTTACATTTATTATTTATTTACCTTTACACGAATTATAATACAGGAATGAAGAATATAAGACACAGCTACGTTGTTAGGAAAAACAGTGTAGTAATTGTGAACAGTCACTAGAGGGCAGCATATGGCAAGTTTTACCTCCCTTTAACAATTAAATATAGGGATCCTTGTAGGAAACGTTCTGTCAATCACAATGACAGATCCTAGATCTAC